AAAATTCGAAGAGGAAAAAACGGGAAGAGCATTTTCATTTATTTGAGTAGGGCAGTTAAAGAAACCTCTTGATGTCTGCTTGTACAAACAGGGATGTTTCTGTGTATTCAAGCCTTGTGTGTGGGCTTGTACCCATGAACATGCATTATCTGCTGTGTACTTCTGTGAGTCATTCAACCTTGACATCTTTCCCACCTTATCTGAAGGCAGCTTTGAAGCTGTCTAACACAGAGTAAGTTAAAGGCAACTGGACACACGGTAAACAAATGCCTCCCAAGACAACATTTCAGTGTAGCGTGCAACATAAAAAACACTGATAAGCTAAACTTGCGATCCTTTCTCTATCAGACTTCCTGACGTTCTGTCATGATCTTAAGATTATTCAGTTTTACATAGATAAGATTACTCCTCAAATCCCAATGTAACAGATTTATCTAACCAACCCAGAGTCAGTTTGGGCTTCACAAGCTACTGGAGTATTCACAACTGCTCAGCAAAGCCTCTTTTACCATCATCATGTCATAAAGGATTATAAAACAGTAATTAGAAGAGTATTTTCTGTTAACCTGGCTCTTCATCAGCTGTTTGGGAAACAAAGACATTGACAGAACAGAAAGGGGATTATATCTGCGCGCAGGGGCCTCAAAGGGGAAAGCACAGGTGTGTATTTTTAAAGTTCAGGTGTGTAAGACAGGTGAAGGCACTTTACTCACAGTCACCCTGCTCCATTCATCATGTTACTCCTCCCCCAACCCCTACCTCGCATACACTCCTGTTATACACAGCCAGCACAGGTGTACAACAACTCCCTCTGTGTTTAAATTCCACCCTCATTGATATATGCTTGTACAAAGAAAGTACGTGTACAGATGAAGATGACGGGGTTAAGAAGTTCAAGAATATACAGGTCACACAAGGGAATGCACAGTCTACCAATTTCAGTAAACATGTATCTGGTTCAGTAGTAATCTCTCACTATTTTAATTTAAGAAATACCATTAGCCTATTATGTAACTTTCTGCTCTGTAAATGTCACTGCTATGCATGAGTGATGCTCAATGAATTAGAAGTATTACCTTCGCTGCATTATGTTGCCTTACTGAAAAACCAACCAAGTGCATTGTCTGTGGTTGACATTTTCCTATATGCATGAGGGATGTTAAAGGGATGAAATGAATGATCTGTAAGATCTAGGGGAGCTATGATACATCACGCTCAGACGGTGAGACAATAACCTATAGAGAAATTATTTTTGTAGGCACAAGTAAAATTAAGGTTTTCCTCTAATAAAACCCTAGGTACAATCAGTGTAGATTAAACTGATCCAGATTTTACTCCATATTTTAATTTGATTCTATATCAAATAAACCACTGATAATGTAATCTTTTCACAAATAGCATACATGCTTTAGAATTAAAATGCCATAAAGAAATCCTGATCTGTCTGAGAAATGAATGACTAAAAACAGCCCTTACTCAAAGAATTATAAAATAGCCTTAGAATTATTCTAACTCCATATGAAGGTCTGAGTCAGATGCTGACCATCTTAAATGGCTAATGATTGGCTAGCTGCAGTCTTCTCATAGTGCTTAGAAACTATTTCTTGACAAAAAAGATTGTCTTTGTTCTTCTTTAGACCAAATAAATTGGAGCAAGATAAATTATTTAAATGTTGGGGGACCTGTTTAGTGTCAATGTAAGTAAGAGTTGTACGCTGTCATTATTAGAAGTTCATAGCAATACATTAACTTTTAAATATCAAGGTCTCAGTCTGTGATGGCCGCTCAAACATGATTCCTAGAGTGAGCAGATTTCCCTGTTAACTCTTGTGAATTGACAGGCCTGCGTCCAGTTAAGCAACACTGATCATTTCAATACACAAGGACTTCTAAGAACACACCTCTCCCTAGTCCTTTCTCTACCATAACTCCCTTCCTTTTATAACCACTGTCACAGAATCTTAATCTAGTCACTCATTTCTGACGATAATCATTGAATAAACAGTGGTGAAGTGTTGAGGGCTTCGGAAAACCGCTCATTTGAAAGTGACAAGACAACGAGAGACAGTAGAGAGAAGCATCTCATAGATCTCAGATGAAGGCTCATCATTATAGTAGCCCCATTCCAGCAAATGAACCACGATTACAATAACATCGCTTAAATGCTGCCAGCTCAAGCAGAACAATCACATTTGGGGCGAGACAGCGGCTCTTACACTGTGACCTGAGCTTTCCTCATTGGTCACCTAGACTACTTTGATCTGGGCTTACTTTCCATTATAGGCTAGTGCATTAAACCTCTCCCATTTAATCATGATCATCAACAGAGCTGTTAGTCTTCCCTTAATAACGCATCATTGTTGCCATTTCCAGACCTAAGATTGTATTGTTAAACAATTCTTCTCTCATTTTTTTATTTGAAAACACCCATCCTCCCCTCCTTTCTTCTCCTCACAATCTGAGTTGATATTTTATTGAATTAGAAGTAGAGAAACCCAAACACTACAGGCAGAGAAGGTGCTGCCCACTATGTTCTGATTCCAAGTGGTCTTTTTGTTAGTTAGACTGTACCATCTTTCAGCACACAGTGTGAATGTGATGTCACCAGACTCAGAAACAAACATGCAGGAGGTATATTATTAGCACAGGCTAAGAAATCGGGTCTGCAATAAAGAGGCATATTATAATCCAGATCAGAAAACTATGCAGCTGCTGACATTTGCAGTCACAACAACTTCCTGCCATATCCACCCTTGCCACAGCATTCAAGACTAATGCTGTTTCTCCTTTCAGTCTCTTTAACCATCAACTTTTCTCTTCTTCACACTGGCAGTATTAATCACAGAACACTTAACAGCAACTGGCGCCATTTACTAGGCCTGGCTTTGTTGGGATTTAGCATCCAGTGAATACAACTCCAGCCCTTTTTGTACACCCAAGTGGACCATTCGAAGAAGCTCCTCCCTCTAAAAGGACCATTGGATTGCCTCTTAAAATGCTGGGTGATGGGTGAATCTAACTTGGTTGTAGGTGGAGAATAAAACAGAGTGGGAAGAAGGGTGACAGGCAAATGATTGGGAATATCCACTGCTTTGGAGAAACGGTGCACCCTTTCTCTTTTGGCAAGCTTGTAATGCCATCAGCCTGTGCCTAGCAACCAGTGGGTTTGGTCGAGAAGATGAAAAGACGCAACTTAAAGTGGAAAAAAAGAGAAGAAGAAAAGAATACTGGAAAATGCAGAAGGCATGAATACAGAAGTAAAAAGACTCAGAATAAAACTTGCAGCTGTGATGAATAAAAGCAGGGGTTGATAGGTGAAACCAAAGAAAAAATGGGGCCTTGCAGACTCGTGCATTTAGTGAGGGCAAAATACCCTCTTCAAATTCAGCTGAGCAGTACAAACAATACAAGGCAAACATGTTTGAATCATCACACCACAGGTGATGATTTAATGTCTCAGCATGCATTTTTCAGAATTTCCAACACAACAACAGACCAATAGCCTGTGGAAAAAAAATAAAAAAAAAAAAAAAAATATATATATATATATATATATATATATATACACAAAACAAATGTTCAAGTTTCAAGTTCAAATAACCATTCTTCTTTCTCCAGCAGTCTGCTTTCATGACTGTGGTGAGTCACCGCATTAACTTTGCCAATGAGGCTTTTATGTAAATTTTCCCATTAAACCAGTTCTTTGTAGGCCACTGAATCCCATGAAACCCCATGAAATCATAATGTAAGGATGCTGACTTTGCACTGACTGACTGTTCTGGGTGTTCAGAAAGGAAAATTATATACATAATAAAATAAAATAAACTTCCTGTTTTACATCATTATCAAAAATATATATCTTAGAAAACAAATTTCACTTTTCACAATGCTTTTTTATATTTGGTTAATGCCAATCTCGGTACAATTTAGCAATAGAATCCTTAAACCAAAAGGACTATAAAAATAAAAAAATAAGGAGGAGGTACTGTCGGGATTAAAAAATAATCCCAAAGATAAGATTAAGTCATCTTTGTTTGTTTCATTTTAATTTAGATAACTGAAATGGTTTTTTAAACATAGATTTTTTTCTATTATAGGATGGCCTCTGTCTTGTTTATCAGACCTATAACATATAACCAGTCTTATGAGAGCATTACAAATCATTCAGACACTAACACCTTCATGTAGTCTTGTGCAAAGCAAAAATAAATGCTTTTAGAGATCTAAACGTGGAGCATCTACTGGCTAATACCCATTTCCAGATTGAGATCTGCCTTGTAAATTTCAATTTGACTGATTATCAACTGATGATTTTTTTTTCTTCATTAAAACAGTAACACAAAGGAGAAAAGTGCTCTAGATCAGTTTGCATTCCAAGAAGTAGAAATAAATCCAAAACAAAAAAAGAAGAAACATATGCATGATTATCCTTATATATTGATCAAAGCATACTTCCCTAATCTTTATGCCAATTTTACTAAACTCATCATTGGTTATCAAACCACAGTGTTTAATTAGGGATTTGGGACTGATTAAGATAAAATATAGGATTCCAATATCTGGACGAGTAATTAGTACATCTAAAGACTTTCTATTCCTATTAGTTGCATACTATTATTCAAAATGTAGCATATAAGGGCTAGAGGAGCTTAATTTATTTCCTAAATGGGAGGTCAAAATCACTGCAAGCAACAGAACATCAATTATCAGTGGCAGTGGGAGGCTATCTGTTGAACTGAACAGACTGGACGCGATACTTTTACGCATTCATTCCCAATTATAGTCCCGAAGAATTACAAATTACTACTTATTAGGGTTTATTGTGATATTAAAATTCACATTCAGATATTATTTCTTCTCAGAATAATAACAATCAGAAACGGCTGAGACGCAGCCTTGGAGTCCAAACTGGTAAAAGGATTGAAAATGATTGAAAATGTCAGCGCTGTTTAAAGTCTGTTAACTGTGCCGTTTGATATAACCCATTTTTAAGAACTTACCATCTGCTTGAAAGTACAGTAATCCACTAACAAGGATGAACGCTAGTGGACCCATCCTTGCATATTAAAACATCCACAGCGGACGCGCAAATCCTCTATTTTAACTGCGCGTTGAAAAAAATACGCGAAGATTGCGCACAAGTCCGCTTCTCGGTTCTGGAAGTGATGGACAGCTCCTAATACTGTCCTACACAAGGACCAGAGCCAGTTTCAGTGTCCAGACACAGAAAGGATCCATTTAAAAGTTGTTCATCCGGAGCAGCTCATCCAGCCTAACCTTGAATCCAAACTCTCGGTTCTTTGAGCAATATTATCCCAGTCTGTCCGCTGAGTTCATCCGCGACTCCTGCTCTAAGCAGCAGCTTTTTTTGTTTGTTTGTTTGTTTGTTTTTGGAGTCTTTCAGAACAGAATAAAAGTGCAGACTAAAAAAAAAAAAGAAAAGAAAAACTCTGCAGGTCTTCTCTTCTTCTTTAGGAGCTTCTCCGGCACATTTCAAATCCTCAGCTAAGACGTCTCCGCTCATGGACAACCAAGAAACCACTCTTCAACTTCCAGGCATTCCTTACAAAAAGTTGTTTTTGTTCTTAAGAGATCCGGCTCTCAGAAGCCCCATGCGCGTAGCTGGGGGAAAATATAGCCCCTATAAATTTACAGTCACACTACAGTTCAACATCCTCTGCTGCGTCTCTCTCTCCTTCTGCGCGTTTGGGTTTAAACGGTGCTGCCACTAGGAGCGCGCGCTCTCCCATCCAAACACTGAAGCTGATCAGCAGCGGTGCCACAGACTGCTGCAGCATGGGAGGAAATTAAAGTACAGGAAGTTTGATTTATGTTTAAATATGTATTATTATTTAAAAATATTATTATTACACCACCATTTATATTAATATATGAAACAAAGTAGTATGGCAAACCTTTAGAGTGCTGTTGCATTTGTAAATCATTTATAAGCATTATTTTCTTTCCAAGAATAAAAGGACTGTGATAGGAGAAACAGCAACAGTGCATCTAAACAACTCAAAGTTCAACATTTGCATCAGTCAAAATGCACCTTAATAGTGAGAAAACATTCCTTTAGAATATAAAAATGCAATGTATTTTGTGAAAATGTGATAAATGTTTAATCGATAGATGCAACTATAATTTATTGAGGGAAGGTGCTTAACTCGTGAGTCTTAATGTGCTGAGATGCATATGCGGAATTGTAAATATGATCTTTGTCACAAATCGATGCTGTGATTGACCGAGCCTCTGCAGGATAGGGCTCCGCATACCAACAATAAACTCAGATCTGTCTCTCTTTATGCCAAGGAAAAAAAAAGTAGAAAGATAAACACAGTTAAGGTGCAAAAATAATTTCAAACCATTGCATTTCATAGAATGGATTAATTCCAACATTAACACTAAATGCAAAGATCTGGACTCAACATGTTGTTATTTAGAGATGGAGGGTGGGGTGGGTTTGTGATATGTGGCGTGAACTCCTGCCCAGCAACCTCAACAGGATTTCTTACAAGGGTTTTACTGATGCGAGCTGTGAGCTCCCCCTACTGGTATCTGTTATAACAACTTCTAGTGGCTCTGTTTTACATTCAGCCCTATAGAGAGATCCCTTCTAAAGAGAGGATATGTGTTCCCACCCAACAGTGATGTAGTAAACGACAGTGCTATTTGTGGGAGTGCATGGTTCTGCTTCTGTATGTTAAGTCGCTAAATTAATTTAATAACAATACAGTTCATATAAAAAAGGGTATAAATCAGCACATTTTTTTGTGCAAATTTGAACTGTGAGATGAAGGCTTAAACTGTTTGTTGGAGAACATTAGTAACAAAGCATTTAACATAACCAGGAACACTTCTTAATTCCTCATTTGAATGACAGGCTGAGTAGGACACTAATCAGAGAAGAATCACCCATTGTAACTCTGGAGATGCACAGATGTTCAACTCAGCCTACCAGACACCTTTTAGCCATACACCATTGAAATCTTAGCTTTCAGAAAGAGTGGGTCCATCAGAGATAAGTAGTGAAAGTATTGTTTGTAGCCAAGGGGTGATTCAGAAAATATGAGGGAAGACATGCAGACACTATGTGAATCAGAAAACTAACAGATAATCCTGAACAGATCATTTCTGCAAAGAATCATGATGCATCGTGTTATGGAGGGGATTTTTGGTAAAGTTGACAAGGAAGCATAAAGGGATTGACAGGAAGATGTAAACTAACTGAACCTGACTTATTTCTAAAGAAGAGCTGACTACAATGTGTTGGTCTAAAGTTAAAATCCCAATGAAATCCACCAAATTTTGTGACAAATGTCCAAAAGTTTTAGAATGAAAACATTAAAAGCATAATACATAAAGTTTACTTCCCATTAACAATGCATGAACTGTAGAAAGTTTTCATTTCCTGTTCTTTATGTCTTAAAAATAAATAAATAAATACATATATACATACATATATATATATATATATATATATATATATATATACATATAATGTACTGACTTGCTAAGCTGGTGCTTCATACCAAGACAGTCTCAAAACCTACAGGAATGTGAACTAAAAGACTTGGATTTTTACTTTTATGATTTACATCAAAGACATCCGCAGAACAAAGTCCATAGTATGTCCTCTGAAGATATCTTTGAAAACCCAGTTCTCCCTGTAACAAAGTACGGAGGCTAAGACCATGACAAAATGGCTTTGGCAAACGGAAACACTTCTATCACCTTTAATAATAGCTTTGACTGCTCATGGGTTTTTTTCATCTGTTTGTTTGTTGAGCTACATGTCGACTCTTGCCCTGAAAAAGGCCCTTTCTAGGAGCGGCAACACGATGCAAGTCTTCTCAGTGGTGCTCTACTGTAGGCTGTTTCTGTGTACTGGCTAGGCACAGTGATTTGTCTTCATATTTTAATATGTTTGTGAACCGCATGCAAATGCTGTCTTCTCAGTGTCTCTGTGGTGTCCTAGATTCTACTGCGAGTGCAAATATTAAGAGTCAAGCAGAAATTTATAGTGTAATCAGTGTTTCTGAAGGTTCAAGGCAAATACAACCGAAAGAAAAAAAAGAGGGGAACTGGAAAGAGGTAAATTACAAAGAAGAAAATCCCACTTCAAACATAAACAATAGAGGCCTCATTGATGGAAAAGGATGTAGAGTGTAATTCTCCCCCAAGCTCAGCCTTTCATTCCCCGCTCTCAATCACTTTATCTGTTTCAGAGGCTGTGATATTTCCCGGGTTTCTAAATATCAGCTCAAAGTGGATTTATTTTAATTAAACTGGAGGCTGTGTTTACTCAGGACACGACACATTACATAAAAAAATGTGATGGTAGGGACTAGGCAATGAAGCTGATAACTTATGGACACACTGGTATGAGCTTATGTTTCCTTCCAATGCTGGAAATAAAACGCACAAAACACACAAATACCCTCTATACGAGTTTTTATAAGTGATCTGTGGTTTTATTTTTAAATCTGAGACACAAAGAAAAAAAAAACAATTAGTTTGATGTCACTGACAGGGTCGTAAAGAGAGTGTGCCAGTTAGGAAAGAATAAGGCCAATGAGGGTTAACAGCATCTGGGAGAAAGGTTCTTTACTACAGCCTTTTGTTAAAAAGAGCATTTCTTATCACCTAATTTCATTATGTCACAATTACTGTCTCTTTTTTTTTGTCCTTGCATGTCTTTTTAATTGGATCCAAACTAATATTCAATTATTTGGTCTCAAGTTATTCACCCAACACCTGCTCACTGATGGATCCGGGGTTTAGTTACTCATTGAAAACATTGTTCTGCTGTCCCACATCCATTCTGATCCACAGAGCCTTAAAATACATTAATAGTGCTTTCCCATTTCAATATTATGGCTCATAAACTCAAAACTTCAATATGTGTTTAGATCAAAGTGATAGACCAACACATATGACCGTATGCAGGGTGTCTTTGTCTTCTTTGGTTTGGTTTTTCATTATGAAGCTATAGGTTGGCTTCATACTCAGCTCATAGGATATAAAACTCTTTTGATGTGAGTACAAAAAGGGTTGTTCTGGCATCAGTACGCTATGATTTTAATAATTCTTCTGAACATCTCTTTGTTTAGTGTTGTTCTAATACAAGGTGAACCTCCCCTTTAATAAGTCTGTTGCAGCCTCTAACAAGTTCTATTGAATGGTTTCCCATTAGCTCCATCTACCTTTCCATTATCATTAGTTTCTGTTTTTGTTCAAAATTTCCACAACTTTATCCCTGAAGATTTTTATGTGAGAACTTCACAAAACGACAGTATTTAAACTACGATTAAAATGTTCCTAGATAAACCTTATTTGCTTATAAAAAGCATTAACCCTGGTGTGCAGTTGCATAAAGGTATCACACCATTTAGATTTATTTGTAAAAAAAATGAAATTGTAGACATGTTATTCGGTCTAACAGCTGCATGACCACACCAGTATCAGTTTGTGCAATTATAATACTCCTTTAAATGCAATATTTCCCAGCTGATATATCACATGGTCAGAATTTGAACCTGCACGCAATGATATTTTCAGCCAGCTGGGTTGATTCTCGCTGGAGTGGATGCTCACAACTGACATAGAAGACAATAACCAATGGAATGACATAAGAAAGAAATATTTGCATTGCAGAATTGTTAGTAGCATGCAGTTTAGTCCAGATCAGAAAATTCCAATAAACTGAATTAAGGTTTTGGGTAAATTTGTGACTAACAGTAAAGAAATATAAGGGAGATTGCAAAGTCCTGTAAATTCCAGATTTCTGTAGAGGATATAAGACACGCTGAAGATCAATAAAGGATCCCCAAGTGGAGAATCTGAAATATATGAGACTGAATGTGAACCACAACAGCAATGCACTCTGGGGGGTTTGAGACGACACATTTCCATGGAGGCATTTGTAACACCTTAATTGCATCTAAGCAGAGCACAATTCCGATATACTATGAATCACAGATAGAACATAGTTTCTGCAGAGCAGCCTCTCTTATGCATCTTAAGGGAGACGGAGAAAAGTGTTTTTAATTGCGTGGTGGGTCAGAGGTTTAGGTACCAACATCAGTCATGATCAGATCAGAGTGGTATTTAGGGAGTTCTTAGCTGGATATCTTTCAAGGCTGAATATCCCCTTACTGAGTTTGGGTCTCAGTGAGGGGATGATTAGGATGTGGAGGTGGGAGGAGGTAGTGTGTGATGTGCGCCGGGGTGATTAATGTAGATGTCAGTGTTGCCCCTCCCCTTCTCTGCTTCCTCAACAGCATCCGTAATGACACCTGGGGAAGGCGGAATGGGTCTACCTGCAGCCCAGGCTCCCTCAGCAAGGCATGATTCTTCCCCATGATCCTCCTCTGTCAGCAGTCCTGTCACTGGGCTCGGATCAGGCCCTTATTAATGGGCCTCTATGTCAAACACAGATATTAAGCGGTGCTCTGCTCTGCACCAGCCTCGGCAATAACAGCCACACGATGACACATTTCTAAACAATACAGTGACAGACACAAACGCACACACACCTCAGAGGACCCTCATAACTCTTTTCTGAAATATTACTTCTTCTTTAGCAACTTCTACAGATAAATTCCAGCATGACAAACAGTGCAGAGATCCATAAGATATCTCTCTCTCCTCCTTTCCCTTCAGCTCTTTAATACACATAACCCAGCATCACATTATGCTGAAAAAGTGGCAA